GTACTGGCTCTACTGAGACATTTGGGTCACCCAGTGGCGAAATTCTTTTGTATAAAGTGTCCGACTTCGACCCATTTTTGGAGTAGCGGATTCGGGTAGATATTTTGCTGAAAAGTTGCTTTTGGATCTTCTGGTAGAAAGATTGTGCATATGTAGAAATGTGGAAGAGCTTCATCACGAAGGAGTGGAACAAAGGGTTTGAAGATGCAGGCGGAAAGAAATGATTTTGAGAGCGTAAATGGCTCCTGATGTGACATGGTTATTTGTAGTGGCGAGTTTAGTTGAAATTGCAAAAAATTGGAGTGAGTGAGACTGGAGAGAAACTAATCATTCTTTCCAGTTAAAGATATTGTCAAGTCACCTAACTTATAGATTTGTTTCATTTTAGTCATCTAAACTCTTTTTGTCCAAGTCAGTCGCTGCACTTTGGTTTTTATTTCAGTTTACGCAATTTGTTAACAGCTGAATTAGCAGAATTGTAGTCGTAACTCATGAAAACGTAGTAACGGAAAGAAACTTTTATAAAAATTAATTTATAATATCAGTTTGTTCGACTCTTCTAAATCCTGGTCAAACTTCACCACCCACCCCTATAATTTTTGTCACGAGGGACCATAGTGCATCAATTGTACCTGCGATCAACCTTAAGATGTTTTCATTAATTTGCTCAAAATAAGAGTTAATTGAACCCACATAAATTTTAACCATACGATTTTTTAATAAGATAGTTCGTAATCACAATACTTGCGATCGACTCTTCACATTACCCATTTATAAAAATTATCTACATAATTTTGCACCTGGTAACTTTTTGGGCGTTGTAGAATATGTTAAGAATATAAGGTTATTTTATTTTATTTTTTATTAAAGGTAGAATAGTCTTTTCAATTTCCTTTATTTAGCCTATATATAATCTCTTTGTTTCTAGGTTAAATCATTCTTTTGTATCCAATTGCATTATACAGAATTAATGAAACTCTAACCTCATTTTTCCTCTTCTTTATTTCTTTGAATTATTTAACATGGTATCAGAACTGTTTCGATCCTAAATAAATTAATTTTTAAATTTTGTTTCCAACGAGCAGCCCAGCCAATTTTTGGAATCCAGTGACTTTTGGAAGTTAAATCTGAGGTTCTGTTAATTTTGTGTTTCTTCGTTGGATATGTCCTTAATTTTATGGTTATGGTGTGTGTGAGAAAGAGATTTGGTGAGACATCTGGCTATACGTGTCAGAAAATGTTTTTTATCTATTTGTTTAGTTTCTAAAGATGAAGAGATTAAAAGGCGAGTATCCAAGTGCAAGGAGGTTCAAATTATCATATTTTTTGTTGGGTATTGCTGCATTATACTTGACTCTTATCTGCTTTAAGTTCCCCGAGTTTTTCGAGACTGCAGAAGTTTTGAGTAGCGATGATAGTGATTTGGGTATATATGACTTGTCCATTGGGAATGATGAGGATAAAAAAATAAGTAAATCGCACCAGAATTCTGTTTCTATGGATGGATTTCACCGAATATTACAAAATAATGAGAATCAAGACGATATTGTAAAGCCTCGACAGGAAGCCTCACCTGAGGAAAAGGATGGTGCTCGACGTATAAAGCCTATTCAACATCAATATAGTCGAACAACTGCTGAAATTTTGAGGCGAATGTATAGGATAGTTTGGTTCTGTTGCTTCTATGTTTAGTGAACTGGCGGTGTGTTTTTGGTTGGCTACTCTTCTTATTCTAGTCTCTGGTCTTCTTTTTGCTAGAGTTTCGTTGGTGTGCAGGGGTGTTCTTGGCTACGTGGTGGATGATGGTGATAATGTGGCGGAACCGGTGGTGTTGCAAGCAATGGTTATGGACAAGAGGCATGAGTTAATGAGCTCAGTGAATTGGCTTAAGTTATGAATGGTGAAATTGTTTGGGTAGTAGTGGGCTTGAGTTTAATTTGTGCCAATAGTTTTAGTATTGGCAGTGGGCTATTGGTTTGGTGTTGATGTTTGGCTTGTGTTTATGGCTTGTTTTTTGATAAAAATAATTGGGCTTATTATATTAGG